AAGGTCTTCTCCGTAAAGTAGTTGCAATCAGCCTGCCTGTAAATGTGTCTCTTTTTAATTAATTGAGATAAATCAATGTAGTTTTATCCACTAGTTTAAAATAAAAGGGAGATAAAAGGCTTTTTAGGTATTACTTATAACATTGTGTATTCATAAGTTCAATAACAAGGAGATATCGAATGGTAATTGAAGCATTTGTGAATCGTATTAAGTAATTCAATGCTGGCTGTTGAATGTTACTCGACTGAGTAACAGTGTTAGGGTTCATGTTACGACACAATGAACAGGAAACACACTTAGAAATTGCGAAAATAACTTCCAATTTCATCCCAGACCATTACTTTTCCCAAATTTACCAATTTCTGAACAAATTTTGAAGTCGAGTTCTACATAGTTTCCTGCAGTTTTGGGTGTGCTGATCACGAAAATGACTTCCAATTTCATCCCAGACCTTTACTTTTCCAAATATTTACCAATTTCGGACCAAAATTTTGAGTCGAGTTATACATAGTTTCCTGCAGTTTTTGGTGTGCTGATCACGAGGGCGCCGCGGAGCGCCTCGGCGTGGTGACAGCAGGATGTGCCTTCCTTTTCATCGTAAAAAAATAGCAGACGGAAAAAAGCTGTCTCGGTGGTACTAGGGCGTGGCGCGGCGGCGCGGCGGCACGGCGGCTGGCTGGGTGCTCTTGGCTCGCTGCGTTTCCTTATTGTGGACGCTTTTGTTTGTTTCCAGCGGCGGGGAAACTCTGCCGCGCTTCGATCCGTCGACCCATCGATCCGGTGCATTATGATGATTTCCAGGCGACTTTCGGCTGGCTCTTCCTTTCCCCCGTCGGCCGGAAGGAAATATGGAAAATCGCGCGGCCCGTGTCCGGGAGGGTGCGGCCTGTGGCGTGTTCTGCTCTGAATGCCGGGCTGCCGTGTTGTTGTTCACAACTCGGTACATCTCCGGGCGGCGCCGAGCCGAGCGGGACCGAGCCGGGCCGCGTCGGGCCGAGGAGCCGAGCCGGATGGAGCGCCGCTGTTGCGATGTTATATTTATGTGCGATCGATGATCTATGATTGGATCTCGGTCGTTCATGCGAGGAAATAGCTGAGCCGCACGCCACACTGTAGCACTTTGCGGGCACACTTCAGCGCCCCACCAGGCTTCAGCACTTCAGCGCCCTCCGTCGACAGGTTTCAGCGCTGTGCCTTCGCACCAACCGAAGCATCACCGAAGGCCTCCTCAGGTTCCAGAGGAAGTCAGTCTCTACCTTTCCCTCCATGAGCACAATGGAACCTTCAAAAAATGTTTACTGCACGCATACCCGCCGCGGGGGTCAAAAAGGAAGGTCTAAATAGTACACTTGCCAACATTCGTTTGGATGCTGCGGTCGGCCACAATTTTAAGACATTTGCAACTGTAGACATGTGTACAGTTGGGTCATTTTCGCGGCGCCACTGCTCCCAAACGGAGGTTGCCAAGATTTCGTTCCACTTTGTGCTGACTGTGGAGGGTAAACTACGCGGGCGCGTGCTTCGTGTGCTTCGTGCTCCGTGTGCCGCGGACGCACAATCGGCACAACGGGGGCTGTTAGCACAGCATCTTTGTAGTTTCGCCGTAACGCAGCTCGCCATCATTTTCCCGAGAAACTCCGTAAAGAAGCGGTGCCAGCTTGGCCAGCGCTCTTCGGCAACAAGGCTGCCTGCTTTATTTCGCCTCTTGATGACGGCTGCTGGCTCCGAGGAGGAGGAGCAGCAGAACCATTCCGAGAGTCGTCCTCGTCGTCCTGTCTCTCTCTCTCGAAAGAAGTCACCGAAAGATGCGAGTGAGACAGAGCGACGAAAGTGACTCTTGGATGCAGTGTGCTGGCAGCGCAGAGGACGCACGCCACGGGCGCCGCGCGCGCCGCAGCCGGATGACTCCGAACAGTGCTTCTTCATCACCTCTTCTCTCTCACACCACCACCGAACACACCTACGCGTGGGAGAGAGAGACAGAGAGAGACAGGCCCCCCGAAAGGGCCGACGACGTATTTATTTTGCGGTGGTGCCGATAAGTGCTGCAGACGAAGTGGATGCGGTCGTTTAATGAAGCGAGCAGCACCGCAACTGCATCGCACTGCAGCGGTCTTATCTGATGATTACTTGGCCGGCCGCATTACGAAACTCATCGTCCGATCGATGAAAACGATCTTTACATTTGTTAGCGCTTGAAAAAAAAAACAGATCTGCCAACTAGGTCGGGGCTGGGTGGTGGCAAACCCCGTGCACCCCACAGCAAAGGATTAAAGATACGATGTGGTGCCCTGACTACGGGGTAGTAAAAGAAAGATTAGTCGGACACGAATCCTCAAGGATCTAAAAATTACGAAAGCCATAACGTTCGACCTCATGAAAAAATCCTTTGGCAATAGTTATCCTGCATTGCGCGTAAGACAGGGAGAGTACGCTCTTCCCAGGACTTATAAACTTTTGTTCGTAAAGGGTTACTCAAAGACAGTGCCAAAGCACCGAAGTAATCAACTAAAATTTTCTTCAAGTCTGTCATCTTTTTTTGACGGTGTTTCAATGTTGGGTGGGGTCAACTGGCTTTTATTCTTTAAAATAAAACTCTCTTCCTTATCGATCCATCAACTCTCCTTCGCAATTTTCCCTCAGTTGGTGACACGAGCCAAATGCATTCTTCGGCCAACCACACACACAGCATAACAGCACTCGCCACTGTAAAACACACAATCACTTGGGCGGAAAAAAAATAGTCTACGAGTTGGAACGTGATAGATAAACTTGTTCTGGCCGCGGTGCGTTGGTGCGGCGGGTCAATACTAAATAATAGAGACGCAAGACAAATCCACCTAGCTGCGCGCTGATTGGCCCGGCCGGCGCGCCCGGCGGTCACCGCCAAGACAATGGCCTTCTCAGCGGCCTCTGGCGCGGCGGTGGCGCGGCGGTGGCGCGGCCCCTGGCACGGACTCGCACCTCCGCGTCCGAGCGGCCCGCACCTTGATCTGTCACACGACCAGCGCGGCCAGCGCGGCCAGCGCGGCCGAGAGGGCCGGGGGTCGACCGCCAATTCGATTCCTGGAACGACTGGCCGAATCAGTTAGCGGCGCGGCCAGGGAATGCCGCTTTTGACGGATGGCGGCTGGGCCGGGCCGAACCCCTTCAAGCCTTCCCGCCCTTCAGGACAAAGCCGCCGGTATCGGGGTTGTCATCGCGCGAGCGGCGGTCGCCAGTGTCATGTAGAACACTATCACGGCCACGTGGACACATCGGCCCATTCAAACAGCGGGACTCGCCGTTTGAGCGCCGCGCCGGAATTCGTCTGCAAGTGGAATCTCCTCCCTCCGGAGTGCGCCATCCGTGGAGAGCAGGACTTCGATAGGAAGGCGGACGTGCGCGTGCCACGGCGGACGCGTGCATCTGGGGCCTCGCGAGCTGCCGACCGAACACTTGCAGAGTCCTTGTGTATGCTTCCGAGGCAAAAATCGCCCCATTTGAAAATTAAAACTGGTTTTCAAAGTAAATACACGGGCAGATTTTCATCGTCCGGAAGGCCCATTTTAAATCTATGCTCACCCTTTCCTTCTCATTCAACACCCTCCCTTGGACTCTTGGCCTCTCTGGACCTCCGGCTCAGGTTGTCACCGCGACACGCCTCGCCTTGCCTCCGCCACGCCACTGCATCGCGTGTCGAGGTGCTGCAGCGCGGCTCCCCGAAAGGGCGTATCCGCGAAGGGCCCGGCGGGGCCGCCCAGCTCCAAGGGCCAGAGGGCGGGGGCCCTGCCCGCCCTGCCATTCATGGGCCGTGCGTATAGTTATAGCGCGCCGGTCGTTATCTGCAGGAGCATCGTTACTCCGGTCGTCATCTTTGGCAGGTCAGATTGATTTTTTTTTCTGGTTCGTCATGCAGGTGGAGGTATACGGGTCGTAAGACTCTCTACGATTCGAAACGAGATACTGTCACGGTACGTCCTCTAGGGCTTGCAGAGCACCGTGCCGCGCCGCGCCATGCTTGGCGTGACAAGGCGCCTGTAAATGCCCGCACCGGCCGTCCCTTTGGCACGGCGAGGCGTATCTGGGTCACGGGATTAAAAAAGCAGTGCGAACCGTATTGAAATCGAATCAGCTGTCAGAGTGTGTGGGCAGCCAAGAAGAAAAATACAAAACGCAAAAGTTTGTTTTGGCTTTGAGGAAAGTAAACCGACAAAGTAAAGTACCGTACCCCATCCGGGAAGACGTTTTTATTGGCCAAGGATCAGCAACGGAGTGGCCTGATTGGGGCGTGTGTACTCCCCGCGAAGGTAAATAAAGAAATAAACAATGACAAAGATGGACTATTCCTGCCGGATCGAGTTATTGCTCGAAGCATCGGCACAAATTAATGATAAGCCGAACCCGTCCTCGCTTCCTTTCCCAGACCGCCGTGTCCCCGCACGGTCCGGGCGGGGCCGCCAGGCCGCCAGGCTAGGGCGGAAATCTCACTGCTTGGTCTGGACATCCAGGCTCCAGGCTGCGCCGGCTGCGCCGGGCTGTGCGGCCTGCATAGAGCTGGACTCCTCTCCGGAACAGATTACCCGGCTGCTTTATGATCGACTTCAGACAACAATGCTGCACTCGTCCGAGTCGTGCCGAGCCGAGCCGACTGCGGCCGACCCCGCCGCGGTCGTTTCCGTCCCGCGACGCCGCGACGCCGCGAAGCGTGCGCAAAGCCGTGAATGGGGATTCTGTGGATTCATCCTGAATGTGACGCCGGGCGGCGTGCCGGGCGGCCTCCGCGTGCTGCGCGCCAGGCGACGCCAGGCCGCGTCTTTACGAGCTGTTTAGTGTCGCCCTGCCCCTGCCATGGCCCTGCCATGGCCCTGCCCACGCGCCAGTCCTTCCGCCACGGAAGTCTTTGGCTCGCCACCTAGCACGCCCTTCATAAAGCAGGGGAGGATGGTAGAGGGAAGACAAGGAGGAGGCTAGGAAGGGACAGAATTGAAGAAAGGAACAACGGAAGAGAGAAGAAAAGAATGAAGGAGAGAAGAAAAGAGGCGGAACGATGGAAAAGAGGAAGATTGTCAAAAAGGAGAACTGATGCAACACCAATAGTAATTATCAAATTTATTCTGCATTCTTTTATGCAGTTAAAGCATTTTGAATTAGCAACCAGAGAGTGAGGTGAGTTTAAACATCCGCCTTCAACGGGTGTATCGAGCCAAGAGCTTCATCGAACTGGCCAACGCTCGGCGAGACAGTGCGAGAGAGACGGAGCGACTCCGGTGAGAGTGCGTGATGAGGAAATGGGCCGCGTCGAGATGCTTTATCGGAAATTAACGTGGTGACGTCACGGTTGGGGTTTCAGGTGGCGAAACTGGAGTGGGGCAGAAGGGCGCGGGCGTAGGGCCGGCAGCGTGCTGTGATTGGATTCGGTCGACGCGCGATGAAACGGAGCGTTTATCAAATTCTCCGGACGATTGATTTAAGTGGGCCGCGAGGAACACAAGACCACACACCCACATCTGTAAATTACTATTTTTAATCACGTGCCAATAAAAGAGGTGTGATACGAACCACGAGGGTCAACTTAGGTCCCGCATTCTTTTGGTGTGAACTAATAAGTCTGCAACAGGTGGCGGTAGCTGACTCTTCACATGCCCCTGCACTCTAGCAGGACCTGTGGTGTGTGTGTGTGTGTGTGAGCACTATGACGCCGCCCGGCGCCACGCCTCCCTCCTCTGCACTCCCTGGCATCGCCTTTTATCTCCCCTCGAAGAAGATTTAGTTTCTAATCTCGGTTTTTGACGAACGGTGATTGCCGCCACTTCGGCGCGCCAAGCGGTGCGTTCTTCGCGGGAAGGGCGGGGGGCTAGGGCGGCAGGGTGGCAGGGCCGCTGGGCTCCGTGTTGCAGGGAGCTTGTTTATCGTATGGCGGGCCGCGACGCTGGTCGGGGCTACTGGGCAATTTCTCGCCGGTGATATCATCGATATGAGTGTCGGGTGGCAGGGCTGGCAGGGCTGGCGGGGCGTTGCAGGCGGCGGCCCGGGCGTGCCGCGACGTGCCTAGCATCAACACGTCACCGTAAAGCATTCAGGCCCCGCATAAAGGGAAGAGGATGGATGGAGGCTTTTCCCTCAACAGGCTCAGCTTTCTGGCGGCGAGCGCTCGGCCGCGTGGCAGGGCGGCGCCGGAGATCTTCTCATGGACGCGTACACGCACCTGGGAGTTAAAAGGAAATAAACCGTCATCGATTGTTTTCTTCGACCCAAAGTGCAAGGCATACAGTGTGAGAGAAACGTAAATGAAAATTTTGCTGTCATTTTCAACTTTTGACCTATAGAAAGGCATGTCAAAGTTTCGAATTTTGACTCCCACTTGCTTTTTTCACGGTGCGAAATTTTCTGTAAAGCCCTAAATGAGTTTTACTTACAGAATGAAGATGAACACAGTTGCTTGAGAGGCAATAGTGACCCAGAAGATGGCTGGGGGATAGGACTCCAGGGTGGCGTTGTAGACCTGGCTGTACACGGCGCTAGCAAGAATGGGCATAGCGGTCTCAGCCACGCACAAAATGGCAAATATTTTTCCTGAGAATGAAGAAACATCTGAAAACTTCTGGGGAAATTGTTGATTGTTGTTTTATAGAAATTTAGCCAACCTCTTTCGTCAACTGACACCAGTTTAGATGCCATTGACCGCAGGACCGGGGGGCCAGTTGGGCCTAGAGACGACACGGCACCACCTTCAGCGTGGAACCATAAAAATATGTTATTATATCTCATGAGCCAATGGACACGAGGTTCAATCGAAATACCGTACCAATGTAAAATACCCAAGGAACTTCTGCCGCTACAAATGCCACGCCTGCAACTGCATGGGCCACCGATGCCGTGAGGACTATGACCGAATCACTGAAGCCACAATGTTTGGTGAACAGCGGCACGCCTAAAAGCATCGCTGCGATCGAAAGAAGATTGTTCATTACATTGGATGAAACTCAGAAATATGGTTTGATGAAATGCACCCTACCAAAAACGTATGCAATTGTCTGGAACGTGCGATAGTTGCTGAACTCATTGACGCTCCAGTTGAATTTCATCTGCGTGTACAGGTACGTAAACTGTTGCTCGTCTGAAAGGCAAACGTCCTTTTACCGAGCCGCTTCATTACCTTTAAAAGCAGAGCGTCCCTCAGCCTTACTTCTTTGGAAGGTGTAGAGCCCCACGGACAGGAGGATTAGAAAGAGGTACAGGCGGCCGTGGCTGCTTCGCGGGCGACATAGTGTTTTGATGGACTCCACGATGTGATGTTTGTCGAAGAAGTCCGAGCAGATGTTAACTTTAAGAAAGAAACAGCATCTTAAGAAGCGGTCTTGTTGGCAAAATGGCTCTTGGTGCTCTCTTACTGACCTCCCTTGAGCGATTTCTGGGCATCGTTCGTCTGCCACTCGAGCACCAGCAAGCTATACACGAAGCAGAATGCGAGGAAGCCGGTGCTGATGGCGAACATGGCCGTCACGGAGCCGTCCAGCACCGAGCCGAACAAGTACGCACCTGTGCCGGTCAATAACAATTAAGACAAAACAGGATGAGTTGTTATTGGCTTCGTTTTTTGTGGCACACCGACCGAGCGAGATGCCGGCGGGCATGGCGACCAGGTAACAGCTGTCCAGGATGGCGAGGCGCAGGGTGCGGTCCTCGGTGGGGGTGACGTCCGCGACGTAGCAGTGCGTGGCGGAGAACACCGCCAGCCCGGAGCCCGTCAGCGCCGCCGGCAGACTCACCAGGACCAAAATCATCTCCAAGCGCCAAGTGTCTGTCGGAAACCGGAAAGAAAAAGCTATGTCTTTCAGACGAACAAATGCACATGACGCACAGGGGGAGCTCACCTTGCGAGGCGACGAGCGCCAACATGGCGAAGTACAGAGTGTTCCCGCCCAGCCCCATGAGCAGGGGCAGCTTCCGGCCCCGTCGGTCGCTCCAAGCGCCGAGAAACGGCGCCAAGAAGACGGGGACGAAGTTGTAGACGATGCCGTTGTACTGGTGGAAGTTGGACACCTCGATCTGTTCAGCAAAAGAACGTCACTCTGTACATTGCTCTAGTTCCGCGTTCAAATTAGTGTGAGGCCAGAATGATCCTTCACCTGCACCCGTGCGGCGTCCTCTTTGAACTGCGGCTCCTGGATGCTGCTGCAGACGCTCTCGGGCAGCCCGAGGTGGACGCGGCAGGCACGCTGCACCAGGAACGACTGGCCGACGACGCTGGTCAGCATGAAGGCGAACATGTGCGCCAGCATGACGGGCTCCACGGTGATGTTGGCTCGTGCCAGCCAGCTGCGTTCCTTTGCGGCTCCCTCTGCTGGCGCAGTTGATGTCTCTGTGCGTAGTGGAGGCGTCGGATGCGTCTGCTTGAGAGAAAAAAAAAAATGGTTCAGTTGAACTTACCTATGAAAAGCAGTTTGACCCATAAAAGTGAGTGCTGTTGATCACAGTCCTTACCATTGTAAACTTGCTTGCTCCTCTGATGAAGCCAAACTGTCCCAAAGAGTGAGTGCGCATACAAAACAAAGACGAATTGATGCGACAGATCAACGCGTATCATGGAGACGTATCATGCGGCGGCGCGGAGCGAGATAAGCCAGGCGTCGACTGTCGGCAAAAATAAAATTCTTGCCTTTCGCCAGCTCGTAGTGTGTCGGACCAGAAAGTGACCAACCACTCAGCGGCAAGCTGACCGGCCTGGCGCACCGCCTGTTCGAACTAAGGCGTCCGCGGTTTCTTGCGACTGCCGCCCCGCCTGCCATGTGGGATTTGGCGGGTCTTTGCCCCGCAGATTCCCTTATCGCCCCTCGTGATAAGTCACCATCACTTTCGCTATCTGACCTGTGACTGTACTCTGGCATGGCGGCAAAGCAGTGTACCCACGTTAATCGCGGCGGGCCAATTACGAGTTAAGCGGGTCAAGTTCGAGGACGATGCCCTTTGGTTGAATATCTGAAGCTGTACGAGTGAAACATTTTTATTCTTTTGGGGGTTTGCGTGATAAGACTCGTCTGTCCACATCAGCCGTAAATGCGCTTGGACAATATTATGCGTGGCCGCGTGGCCCCACACAATTTTGTAATTGCGTGATTTCATAGAAATTTGTCAGCGAAATACCGTACCGATTCCGTGCATGGAAACCACGCATGCATAGATTTGTGTGAGTGTTCTCGGCAGAAAATAGCAGCGTACATGCAGCGGAGTGGGAGTTTACTTGCCGCAGGTATGTCAGGTAGCGCAATGAACGCTCCGCCCTGCGTGAACTTTTGTCCGTCATCAGAACCGCGATCACCTCGGCCGGCCACACCCTCGCGCGGCAGATGGCGCAACGGCCACAATGTGTGCACAATGTGTGCACATACCACGCACGCCAATTTGTGGCCTACGGCTTTTTCCCGTTCGGCCGAGAGGTGCGTTTTAATGGTGAACTTGTGTCTTGATAAAAGCGCTCGGCGAAGGGGGCACCTTGCAGCGCCCGGCTGTGCCTTGCAGTGCCGTGCCAGGCCGGAGGAGGCGCCGGCTCGCCGCGCCGCAGTGGCCTGCCGCCGGGCACTACACGGAAAAATGGCTCCTCAAGCTCATAATGCTGATAATGTTGACTGTTGAGAGAGTCGCGTTCTTTTCAAAATTGAATTTAACCTCGAGACGCGTTAGGAAATCTCGCACTTCTTACTACAGGAAAGCCACGGCAACGCTCAGCCAGGCTCAGCGCACTTGACGCTGAGAGAGGATTTTTGCCTCAGTTACAACTTACTAAAAATAAAACCGACTCTTCTTCCCTTCCCTTTCGTCATGAAATGACTGACTCACCTGACTGCCCCTCTTAGCACTTGGTGGGAGGTGAGCCCTTGGTCCGGTCGACGCATCCGAGGCCGGGTGCACTGTCTTATCGCCTGCTGATCCCCATGGTTACGACGGCCTGCCGGCTGGCCTGGCCGCGGGGCGTAGCGCGACTCCACGGCACTCCAGAGTTGCTAAGGTTGCTAGCGTCGCCGGCGTTGCCATGGCAACGACAGAATTAACGACCTCGGACAAGGAGGGTTTCCGCCGCGAGGTCCATCTCATTAACTCACTATCGCGTGGACGGCGCCCGGCAGGCTCGGCGGCGCAGCGCGGCGCGCCCAAGGGAAAGAGAGTGTATGAAACTGTCCCGCAGGAATGCGTCATGCGGGCGTCGCGTTGCCAGCCAAGGGTGCTTCTGTCTCTCTCGCGCTCCGACGCGGTGCCCCGTGAGTGCGGCAGAGACAGAGTGAACCGCGCGGCGGGCATTCCCGCGCGGCACGTGGCGTGGCGCCCCCGCGGCGCCTCTCCCCATCCACGGCGACGGCGGCGGCAGTGGCGGTGGCCTCGGCGGAGGGTCGTTGACCAAATAATCCCCCCGGCGAAATGCCGACGAAACGCCGCCTGTCTAAGGAGGCGAGGCGGACGCCTGTCTAGCCGCGCGCCCAATTTCGGGGTCAGCGCATCGCTTTAGGACCCAGCGGACCCCACCCCGCCCCGGCGGCGGATGCTGAGCTCCGTTCGTCCCTCTCTCGCACTCGCGTGCCCGTGCGCGTGCGACGAAAGCACTGTTTGGAATACCAGCCAGCCCGTGCGTCACACTGGACCACCGGCACTGGTAAATCACCCACACAAATCGCCGAATGGCGCTTCTTCCGTGGGCCGTTCGGCTGCGAGGACTTCCCTGCCACCGCACTGAACAGTAATTCGACATTATGTCTATCCATTTTTATAGAAAGACCTCAGTGAAGAAGATGATTGCGCTGACTGTGGCAATATGAAACAAGAACTATGTCAGTGCATCGTCCATGATCGACTTTGTACTCTGGTCTTGATGAAACAGGCGTCTGAACCAACCCCGCTGGGGCGGGCAGCCCTTTCACCCCGCCGTGTTGACTCGATCTTTGCGCAGCAAAGCGACTCCGAACGACGCCCTCGTCTGTCTTTCTCTCTCGCCAAGGAGCGTTCCGGACAGGTGCGAGCGAGACGGCGCGAGGGAGCGCTGCGCGGAGTCAGTCTGCTGACACGCCACGCCCCACGTGCTGTTAGTTGTATCGGCGAGGGAAACTTAAGCATTCACAGTACAGTGCCGGTGACGCCAAGCGCCTCGTGCATTCGTGTCGACCTGACTGGAACACAACAGCGCTCTAACACGTGAACCCCGCGGACCGGACCGAACCGCTACTTCTATCTGGAGCTTTTTGGATTGGAAGAAAGGCGGGCTGGCTGATTTGCGTGTAGTTAGCGTGTCCACGGCGTGGGCGCACGTTAAGTCCACGCGAGGCGCCGCGAGGGACCTCTTGTCTCCGTGCGGACTACCTCGATGCGGCCCGCCCCGAAAGCCAGGCGGGCTGAAGCAGGTCAGAACGCTAAACAAGACGGGAAACGCAACTCGTTTCTCTGGAGACTGAACTTTAAATTGAATGAAGTACTAAGTCCTGTGCAAAAATTGTTAGACACCATGAATTTTTCTTCGCAGGTCTACTGAACAATCTTCGATCGTTCAATGCGTCGGCAGGGCTCAGAACGCTGGGGTGGCGGCTTCGGCGGCGGCACTTCACATAACTGCGTTTCTTGCGCTTCGTAGGACGGCGATGCCCCATCGCTGCAAGGCGCGCCGCGCCGAGCCTCGGCATGTGTCGCGTGGCTCGCGTGGCTCGCACCGCCCGCTGACTCGCTCGCTTTATCAGCGCTCCGCGAGGAATATTGATTCCCACTCAGGGAGGCACACCGGAAGGGAAGGCGAAGGCGCAGCACCAACTGACCACTAGCGCTTTCTGCGCGCTGATTCCGAGCCGAGCTCGTCGCTCTGTCTCTTGCATCCCCGCAGGGAACCCTTTTAGGCTGAGAGAGACAACGTTACGAAAGCACTGAGTTCGGACTTCGCGATGGAGTAGAGCTGAAGGCACAGAAGGGAGTTGCGTCCAATAAGTTGGCGCGAAGTCAACAAAAATCATCCCTTGCTCGTGTTGTTGTTGTTGGCGAGGCGAGCGATGCCTCATTACTGCAGACCCGCTAATGGTGCGCTATTGACATCCCGACAGGCGAGTTCCGGTCACCCAGGCCAGTCCGCGCGCCAAGCCGCGCCAGGCCGCGCCGGGCAGGGCGGCTCCGGAGGGCAGCAGAGACGAGCTGTCTGCGGGAAGCATATGCAGGCACGCGTTACCGCGTGTGTGTGTGTGTGTGTGTGTGTCTTGGACGCTAATTGAACACTTCTGTTGACCTGGTGGAAAGGGGAGGGGGCCTGTCGGACGTCGGACGCTGGCCCGCGTCGACATCGGGTAGTGTCCGGACCGCCGCCACACCCACCCAGTTATCTATGGCACTCTGTGTGGTTTGTCCCGGCTCGGCTCCTCGGTGCGACTCGTCGACTCGCCTCGGCTCGGCGGCTCGGCTCGGCTCGCCTCTTCCGATGTGCTTTATTGACTTGCCCACCAGCAGAGCGAGGCACTCGCGCACACCCGCGGTGCGCGGCGCGGGCACGCCGTCTCGCCAAGCGGGGTGCGGTTCATAGAAAACCCGTCGAGGCGCTGGTGTCGGCAGGGCAGTGGTGTCGTCGGGGGGACGTCGAAATCGGGGTGTGTTAACAGTGTACTCGGTACGTGTGTATTGAGGCCGAACGCAGTCCGTTTGGCAGACTGTACACCGCACGCCGAAACACTGTGAGACATTCCGGCCTTGCGAGGGACACGCTAGACTCCTTCATCTGTTGGCGAGATAACCTTTTCGATCGCCGTGTGTGTGTCTGTGTGTGTGTAATACATCATTACAACGCAGCGAGCGTGTGCCGTACGTACGGACGCAATAAGCAGATCAGACCACACACATCATCGTGTTCATGTGACCCGGGAGCCGCAAGGCAAGGCTTCGCGAGCCTAGACTGCCGGAGGCGAAGTGGACTACCTCAGGTCGAAAAAAAAAACGCGGTGCAGGGACAACAGTCTTACTCTGGAACTTTGTCCGCCAAGCCGCAAGTTCATCTTAAGGTCCATTAGGTAAAACATCGTCGGAAGAAATGCATTTTTATTTTTTTTTAGTGTCTACGTCACTCGAAAAACAAATTGATGTCGGAGGCATCGTCCTTCCTATTATTGTGACTGTGTGGGACCTCTGTTGGCGCGGCGCGCGTCGGAATGAGTCCGGAGCGAGATGCACTCGAGGCTAATCCATATTTATGTGCAGGGCGGGCCGCCACGCCGCCGCGCCGCCGCGCCGCCAGGCCGGGCCAGTGGCCGCGGCCAGCGCAGTCCTTTTGGAGCCATTACGCCTGAATGGCTCGACCCTTCTTCTGACTGAGCTCCCAGGACAAGAACCACCTCACCTCTTTTGTGTGCCAAGTGCACACACATGGCGTACCTGCGAACACACACAGGCGCAGAAAAAAGAGGCAAATCCTTTTTCACTTGACCACTTAGGCTTACTTCGTAACTAAGATGACCTTTCGTGGACGGTGCGTGCTGCTCGCGCGCACTAAGACGCACACGTATACATACCAACATACGCAAATCCACACACACACGCACACTCACACACACACACAAACACACACACACATGCTCGCTCGCACGCTGTTTTGCGTTTTTTCCGCCGTCGTGTGATAGCCAGCAGGACGAGGAGAGCAAAGACTAGGCCAGCCGGCCGGTGATCCAGTGTAGCCGAGGCAAGCCGAGGGTAAACAGTGAGGAACATCACGCGCGGCGCAT